AAACACCGCCCGCAACGTCGCCCACAGCACGTGTGTTGAAAGGTCACATAGCTTCATATTTTCACTGAGGTTTCCGCAATACTGAAAGTCCAACTGTTAGGATGTTCTTTTGATTTCAAAACATGTACGGCCTTTTGTGTGTGTTTGTGTCAACTACAAGAATTGCACACGTTTCACATGTTAAATGTGAAATGTTAAAAGTGTGACGTCAACGTTCCAGACAAACCGTTGCTAGGAGCGTTGTTTTGGACGAATAGATGGGACTTGATTCCGCTCCAATAGAACGATCGGTAAAAATTGGAATTTAAACGTCTAAAAATTATAACTAAAGGAAGCCCAGATTTCACACTTACCACAACAGAACCGAGAATCGGCTGTATCTGAAATATTTCCGACGGCAACTTCCGGTCCTCGTGACTTCTCAAGAGGCCTGTTGCAGACAATGAACGTATGGCGAACGTATACGCTATAACTGAAGTATGTCGTCTGCAACAGTTTTAATGATCTGCCTAATTATACGATTTTGATTTGGAATTTATATGGAACAGGCAGGCCCGAGAAAACTAGTGAGGTTTATAAAAACGAATTGTATTCGCGTTCGATAATGAGATAACATCATAATGATTCTTCAGTTCAAAGTGAGACCCAGAGCGTGCATGACTAAAAAGGAACGCTTCTTTGTGCCTCTAGAATATTCGAGTTTACTCTTACCCTGAGTGTAAAATATAGGGAGGCGAGAATGACCTTGCCTAATCAGTCTCGCCCTAGCTTCGTTTCAGCTGCCGTCCCAGCGCAGCCAAAGGCTGAGGGACGGTTCGCAACTTCGCCAAGAGCATTCCTACGCACCACAAAGTAGTCCACAAAAGTATATATATATATATTTAAATAACTGTTTTGTGCCTAAACCTTGCACAATATTCCAGATGTATACAGCTGGGAATGATTTGCAATTAAAGGAATTAAATATCTAAAGTTTATGTTTTTATTAATATATATAAATGCATGTGGTTTGGTGAAAACACCTGCACCCGCTGGCAACACGGCTGCAGCGCTCGGTTTTTCTGAGTGATTTCACTCCCGTAATGGCCGAATCATCGGCTTCACTGCTTTCCTCAGCAAGTCACTTAAAATGTCCTTTCGCAAACGCACGTTTGGGCGCCAGGCGCCAGAGGTCGTGATGAATGTCTACTTTTAAATTCGGCAGGAGAATCCGGCCGCGTCGTACTGCGAATGCGTCGTAAACATAAAAAGCATCCGGGCCACTACAATTCACTGATACGCGGCGAAACCAGGGAACCCTTTTACCTGCCGATCACATTGAACGCCGAGGAGCTGGTGGAAAGGACCGCGCCTTGAGCCCTGGTATATCCAGATAATACAACGAAACATCAATGGCCGGGTCATCGGGCACCTTGCAATGTGTACTTACATCTCAAAATTATGCCGGAATGCCGAACAGGTGGAAAGCTAGGACACAGACGCCAGCGGCCAGCCTATGTACTGACATCCCCTGCAACCAAATTTTAGAATATGAAAGAGTACTTTTTAAACCTGTACCAGGCGATACCGTTGATACTCCCGCAGCAGACCAAATACTCGGCGAGCGCGGGCGGCGCGGACGACCAGCGGCGCAGCGGAGTGATACAAAAGTGCAGGCGAGATCGCATGACTTATTGCCTGCGTGTGATTGGCTCCGGCCACGAGTAGCTTTGGCTGCGCTCGGACAACAGCTGATACGAAGTATAATGAACTATCTAGGTTCAATGCTTGAGATGCTGAGGGCAGTAGATAAGGAGCCGAGCACGGCTTTGTCGACTCATAGCCAGCTGTCACGGCGACGCATTGTTGCTCGCTGCCGGCGCCGTCGACGCTCATCCTTTTTTTTTTCTAGTCACAAGTTTGGCGACTAAACCTTTATTTTTTTTTTTTTTTTACGCTTGTCGATTCGTTCCCGAATTTGACAATATGTAAATGTTACGGGCAGTTCGTTTGATCACACAGATGTGCACTAAAGCCAATATGTTGTCGGAAATCCTTGAAACGTGCGCGGGCCTGCACTTCGACCTTTATAAACTTCGCGTCGTTGTCATACCTGATTCGGCTTCGTAGTGTTTTCACCTTCTCAAATATTGCGGAAGAGCTCCACAGGAAGGCGTACTCGCGCCCTCACCCACCTAGAGCGTCGATCAAAGCTGTGCACGGGCACTCTTCGCTTCCGAAATCCCACAGAAAGTTGACCTCGAGAATATAAGTTCCGCCAATCGTCACCAACCTCACTCAACGCGGTCATGTACCACTTACGGGTCAATTCCGCGATGAAAATTTCGGTGACCGCAAGGGGCGCTGCAGCCAGTAGGCGAGTCAGCGGTTCCGAAAGTTTTAGAGAGCCCACATTGCAGAGAGTTTCCAAGTATTGGATCGGAGTCATGTGGTTTAGGGCCTCGTTTTCAATACGGGCTGCGAAGAGGTGTCGAACGTTTTGGTCGTCTGCGATAGTCTCCGTCTTTCCGCCTGCTTGCCTCCTTGCCAAATCAAAACGCTGCGCGTCCAGACTTGCGACCAATCCTCACCGGAGACGTCCACCATTAAATTGCCACATTTCCTCTACGGTTCGACATGGTTCCTCTCTACAATCTAGGCAAAATAAGAATGCTCATCGCTCCTCGCGCAACTCTTTATCATTGCGCGCATACGGCGCCCATCGCACTTCCGCTTCTAGCCACTACCGATACTCCAGCAGTTACGCTTTATTTAGCGACTCAACATTCACAAATAGCATTTCTTGGGCAATAGATCTATGGCATTACCTAAAAAGCCTATACATAAACACGTACATAAGAAACACTTAGGGACGGTTGCACCAACGCCGCTTATCTTAACCCAAAGCGGCACTTTCCTAAGCCGGCTTAGCGCGCTAAACCGACCTTAGGTAAGCACGGGTTTAAATTCCGGTTGCACCAAGGTTAAGCCGGCTTTACAGACGCGCCCCTAGCTAAACGCTGGATTTGCGTAGGGAATCTAGGGACAGACAGAGCAAACTAGGGAACGCTCAGAGCGACGAATACGATTGGCGGAGAGGAATCACGTGAAGTAAAAAAAAAAAAAAACTGCCGTAGTAGTCGTCGTCGGCGTCTGCTTTTCGCTGTATTTTTTCGGTGAGTAACAAATTAAAGGTCTCCAAATTCAATCATTCTTTTGTTTAACTTTCAAAAACAGAAGCCAAAGCTTCAAATAAACACAAATGCTCTTTACATCTGTGATTGTGTGTTCAATATTGGTTGAAAACAGGATATTTTGACAGTGGTAGTAGTTTTCGTGCTCACATTTTGAGGCGAAGAAGCCATCGGGGGCCCCAAATCTCACCGAACGCGAGAAGGACACTCTACTCGCTACATCGCTGAAGACAAAACATCATTGATATAAGTAGGCAGGTAAGATGACTACTAAAACCAAGTCAAGCCTGAGACCGATGAAGTTCAAAACAGTGACGAACTCACCACGGCAGCTGCGAAAATGCCCGGAAATCGTCGAATAGAAGTCGTCGAGAGGTCAGGTCACGAGACCTGGCATCGACGGTACTCGTTGCTATAAGCAAAGTGACAGAACTGCTCTGTACCGTCGTTGAACATCCGCTGCAGCCTCAAACGGACTTCAGTTTCACACTGTCGAGTTCAGAAAAAAAAAAAAAAAAACTCCCACTAGTACATCACATCGCGCCGATAAGAACGGTCGTCTCTTCGCATCAACTGCGACAGCCTGCCCCGATACAGCAATGAACGAATCTAACATAGTAGTCGTTACGATTTGTCGTCGCCACGAATGAAAGATATAAAGCAAAATATTTCTAAAAAATCGCGATCACCAAAAAAGTTACGGAGGACACAACAATGCGCAACTTTCAACTGAATTTTATTGAAAACGTGTTCCGGTATATAGTCTCAACCATCGTCACAATGACAACAAACGACCAAAGTAAAGGGAAAACACCATCACAGAGCACAACTCGGAAACAACAGTATCTCGTTCTCGGGAAACGAATGAAAGATATAAAGCAAAGTATATAAAAAAAATGCGATCACCAAAAAAGTTACAGTTATGGAACGATACAGTTTTCTGAAGCCAAGATTCTACTCGCGAGATAAGGAAAATTCACTGAAGATTGTCTCAAAACTCAGAAAACGAAAGAAATTGAATTTTCGCTGTTTTATTACTTAAAAGCGCCGCAATCTAATGCAAACGGCAGAGGTGTCGACAATCAGCTGATCGCCGAGATCATGTACTGTACTGCCACTATTTAACGCGCTGATCAGATCGGAAGATACGCGCTGCAAGTGTAAATAAACAAGGTGGTAAATAACAATACGTTACAGCTATGCGAAAATTAGTAAGTACATACGAATAAGCTCGGTAACAGAAGAACCAACGGGAATACAGACATGAGCCCCACAGCTCCGTACGTTTCTCGGTTAGGGCTAACACGCCCTAAAAGTGGAGAGCCAACTTGAAAACAGGGTTCGATAAACACTTCACGCGACGATATTTTGCATCCTTGTCACAATCGAAAGTCATTTTGTCGAGACTTTCATGCTGATGTAGCCTAAAACACTTTGCACAACCAATTTCGTCCACCGCGTCGACCGTGACAAACCAGCCGCCATGTTTTTAATCCAGGATTAAGAAACAACCAGAAGCAAAGCGCCCAATGTTGGGCGCTTAAGTTAAGCGTAGTTTAGTGCTAGGTTTAGCGATAAGCGAGTTTGATGCAACCGAACGAAACCGAAACTAAGCTTAAGTTCCCGGCTAAGCTCCGCTTTGCGCTAAGCGACGTTGGTGCAACCGGCCCTTAGTGAACTAAATAAAGTTTACAGGCCTAAAGGCAACAAATACAAAGTAACACCCGCAAAGAATATTATTATGCTCACACACATAAAACACCCGAAATACACTCCTCCGGATTTCTACCTCCAGAGTAGATGGCAAAGACTACTGCGCGGTCGACATTACACTCCGTCAGAAGGCGCCACGTTAGTTTCCGCGTCCTTGGGGACGACTACTTCGTACAGGTCGTTCCTCCTCTGTTTGGCAACGGGCAGCTGTTGCCTCACCGCATCCAGGTAGTCTATATTGACATCAGCAAGCACGATCTCTTCATCGACCCCAGCCGACCGGACCACCTTACCAGTGGGATCTACCAGCATGCTGTGTCCCCAGAGGACGTAGTAGGCCGTTTCGTCCCTCGAGGGCGACACGGACGCCACGTAGACCTGGTATTCAGCCGCCCTAGCCCTCGAAGTGAGCTCCCAGTACAACGGACCGTTGTATATGTTGAACGCTGCCGGGTACACCATCAACTTGCAGCCGAGCCGCTCGTACAGCTCGGCAAAGGACGAGAACACGATGTCGTAGCATACTCCGACGCCCACTTTGCAGAATGGTGTGTCGAAGGTGGTCACTTTGTCGCCCGGTGTTAAAAAGCCCGCCTCGCTCAACGTGAACTTGCTGGGGACGTCGGTCGCGTAGAGGTGTACTTTGCGGTGCTTCACTCTAAAAAAAAAAAGGTGTCAAGGGAGAGTAAGTGCTCTAACTTACTCTCCTTTAACTCTATCTGCATGGAAGTTACTCTTTCCCGACCGCTTCTTTCGATGATACTCTCCCTTAACCCTCCCTCGACCTCGAGAGTAACTGTAACGAGAGTTAGTTTCTCCTCGCGATATCACGGGCTTTCGATAGATGGCGCCGCTATGGGTTCGGCGCGAGTTCGACGCTGCTCGGCGCAGGTATTTTTTTCGTTTTCTCGGGGAAACCTTTTTTTTCCCATCCGCTTTTCTTTTTTTTTTTCTTTGTTTCTTCTTCTTTTTTTTTTTTTTGGGGGGGGGGGGGAGATGGGCAAGGATGTTTTAATAAATGAGTTGGTACAGTACAGCCTGCCTTGACGGGTTTATATTTCAGTATTTATTAACTTAATTATTACCTGCGGCAGGAAGATCATTGGAGTGGGGGACACTCCTTTATCCAAGCAATAGGCAATGAATGTTTTGCTACACAGATATATTAAACAATAAACATATAGATTAGTCTGTAAACGGGCGTATGAGCGGATGCTGACGCGCGTGTGCGATTATGTTTCGTGACATAAGTGCCTAGGGTTGTTAGCCCAGGGATGTTTTTGGGGCATTGTTATATTTTTGGGGGGTCGTTTCAAGTTACTGCTGAGCCCGACCTCACTGATCGTAGGAACAGGTATATGTATAAAAAAAGTATTTTTTCCACATTCGCATTAAAAGCAAGCAAAGAGGAAAACCTCCCTCCGTGACAGAAGAGGTCGGCTTCGCGCGGTCTATTGCATACGCCACGTGAGGACCATTTCATAAAGTGTCGCCCTAAACACGGCGTTCGTTTCGAAGCCATGTATAGGTTCAAAAAACCTATACATGGCGGCAAGCCAAGTTTATGGTACGTGACACTAGGGGCTCCCTTATTTTCACCGCCGTGGAGAAAATAAACGACGGAGCCAAAGCGTTTGGAAAAGTTGTTAGCGATGATTTCCAAACTTGTTATGCGGTCTTTGTTTTGAGTCATTAAATAAACTTGGCTTGACTACTACCTTTTTTTTCAATATTTAGATTTTACTTTCCGAATCGCGGGAATCGATCAGTCTTCTGCTCTGTTCAAGAAAAGCTCTGGGGGGTTAAACCTTTAACTCTGCACAGTTTGCTACATCCTTTAACTGTTTTAACCTCGCTCTCCGAAGCTCCCTCGACAGGAAAGTTTTCGATATAAGGGAACATTCAAGATCGCTGCTCTTTTCCGCTGTTCATCAAACAGTTCCTAATGTACAGCGGAAGCACCGTGTAGCATTCCGGATATCGATATTTGTGGTACGGATCTCACTGGCTTTAAATATAGATACATTAGTGTGTATTACAGAAGTCTTATTTCGCTGACCAACAGAGCCACATTTAAACTGCCATTGACGGGTTCACCTTACGTTCAGTTGATTCTACACAGCAAGCGATAGCTCGATTATTTTGGGAAGAACGTAGACTGCTCTATGTCGCCCTACGATATGTTAAAAAGTATGCTAAGCTTCTTATGTTCAACGTCCCCGAGGTACGAAACACGGACGACAGAAGCTCAGTTAAAATGAATAAGCGAAAATGTCTGTATGTTCTGTAACTAGCGGTAGCTTCCTCCATCTAGCATGGCCTTTGAAAAAGCCTGTGTCTAGAGTGCCGTGGTACTCTTGCCAAGCGTTCAAGTGCCCACGTCCGATGGCACTCTAAGCACGCATTGGAGTGCCGTCCGAATGCCCTAAATGGGCTGTACAGAAGACGTGGGTCAGCGCGTCCCGAGAAGCATAACCTGCCGCATCCGTGAGCTAAAGAAATCCGATCCACAAAAAATGTTTCACCATCGAAGTGCTTCGGAAGTGAGGGAAGTGTCGCAAGCGGAAATTTAGAGGACCCAGAGGAAATTAGAGAGTGAATAAATTTAGAGGAATTTAGAAGATAAATAAATTTGTCTTTTAGAGACAGCCAAATTTACTTATAAGCTTGGTCTTGGTACCAATCCAGCCAGCTGAAAGTCATGATGTGGAAAGATTGTGAACTTTAATTTGGTCTCCTGTGTTTGTTAGTTACCAAATCGACAACAAACCAGCACCGACCAACCAGCTTTTTTACGACGCAAATACTTTAACGAAACAACTTTAAAAAAAACTTCGAAAAAACAAATAAATAAACACAAAAAAGATAGTGTGGAATGGGCATACTGCGGACACTAAAGTTCGTTAATATTCTCTTCTTATTTTTTGTTTTTTTGTTTGTTTGTATGGAGCAATTGTGCAAGCTGGGTGCAAGGTGCGCAAGGAACGAGCGAGGCGCCCGTTGAGTCCGGATTCCCTGGATTACCGCCTTCGGAAGCACACGCTGCCCTCAGTTGCCACACAAAGCCTTTAGTCATGGATCGGGGACTTTATCCCCCGTAAGCTGACAGCGCGGTGGAAACTGCGTGCTTGTTAGACCGTTTAACTGTCAGTCTCGCACCACGTGATCACCCCTTCTCCGCATACACACGCGAGGCGAGCGAAATCAAGCGAGAGGAGTCAGGCCACTGAATGGTTGGCTAACGCTTAGCTTCACCGCATTGTCAACTTAGAGATGAACGAAATAAGAGCTCACCTCTACAATCAATTTCCGGCCTGTTATCGCCTGACATCACTTTCTGCGCGCGAAACCTCCAACCTTGAAAGCAACAAGATCGTTTTGCCCACGAGCAAGTTTCCCGGAACTTTAGAACGGATGCATTGTGAACGTTGGGGCCTAGGAAAAATAGCGCTGCCATAATTTTTTTTTTTTTTTTTTTTAAATTTTGTTTTTGGTTTCACGAACGGTTTCGGAATATATGACCGAATACCGTTTTGGCTTCTCCACAGAACTAAGATTTAGTGACACTATGAACGTGTCATTGATAGTAGGTATTCCATGCGCAATTATGCATAAATATATAGGACAACGATAATTTATTTGTTATGTTTGTGAACACGGAAAATACATAAATGAATTAATTAATATATTTATAAAAGTATCTGTTTCACATTTTTTTCTCAAGAAGGTCTTTCTCGCGCGCTTCATGGGTAACAACACAATCATTTAAGTACTGACGTGTGCACTTATATGGCAGAATTTTTTTTTTATACAAAAGAACCATACATTAATTTACCTTAATTACTTTTCTCGATTAAATTTTCCCTATAATAAGGGACGTGCTTAAATGCATATATGCTTCTGTGCAACCCTGCTGTCATTGCTGCCAAAAAAAGCAAACATCTTTTTGATAGGACAGGTCAGGAGTGCTTATATTATAAATTTGAAATAAACACCCGTGCCAAAATCACCGGTGCATTTCCAATGAGAGGGGCCGCCATCCCGTGCTCGCCAGGCGTATAAATGATCAGTGACTCGTCATTCGTAATCTATAGATAGTATTTCGGATGAAAACATTATTTCAAAGCAAATGAGGGCGAAATTACAGTCGATGTGCCATAGTGAATCGTTAATTAAACAAGACTCCCACCTACACCAAATCTATGACGTCGCGCTTAGGCGGTGGTGCAGCCTGTTGAACGGAGCTTGGCCGAACGCTTCACACTTCGGAAAATGGGTACATGCAGCGCGTCGTGCGCGGAGCTCTTGTGTGCAAACGCGTGCTTGTTTACACGCAATGCGTTGGTGTACACTCGATTCAAAGGTCAAACTGTTCGTGAGAGATTATTCGGCGTGAAGTCGGTCTGCCTTTCAAGATTTGCGACACCGATTCACGCTGTACATGAGACACGCGTAGCTAGTGCAGCACAACCGCTAACCTGAGGTCGTTAACGTGCATCACGCGCTATACTTAGTTTCACCTCCGAATGAACGGCAGATGCTGTTTCAGTGCTTGTGCACCCGCGAGCGCTCGTGTGCCCGCCGAGGCGTCATCCAAAACAATTAGCTCGCGCTTTTAGCACGTGTGACCAACAATGGTCCATGCTGAGTTGAGACGAAGTATTCCTGGTGTTCATAGCACGTTCTACAGAATGAGCTTGCGCTCCTCGTGCTCCTAGCTCCAACCAGTCAGCGACACGCGCGGGCTAGCGCGAAATCCTCCCTTTGAAACAGAAATTTCTAGCGCAAGCGGTCATTCCGCGAAAACCCCTCTGAAAACTGCACTTTCGTGCAGGTAGCCTTCGCTGTTTAAGGACGAGCCTCGGGCACGTGCAGCATTCGCGCGGAAATATATTTTGGTGTTGTAGTAGTATTTTGAAGTGCAGGAGAAAAGCTGGAAGCCACCCGCATCTATTTCACGAGCAGAGTGCTCGCGAAAGTAGCGTAAGTACTTTTAACGTAAGCTACCACTTTTAGAAACAGATTGTAATTGTTTGAATAATCTTCTATTTGTTCTTTTTTCCCAAAAAATTGATTCGTGATTGGAGTGATCTCCGAGAATACCGGCCACCAGTGATACCTGTATAGTGCCATATTAGCGTGACATTTGAGTGCTGTGCTCTTGATGCATCGTGTTCCTTTTTATTATTCCTGTTTTTTTTTTTGTTTTTTTTTGCAATTTGACAACTGGACTTTTATGTAGTCAGACACTGTGTTTCTCTATCTGTGACAATTTGATAGTTTATGTACGAAATTAATCCCTTAAATAATGCCCTCTGCACACTGTAGGCATTTTATAAATTAATAGAACAAGTAAATATCCGCGGGAAGGGTGCGCTAATAACTGAATGAATAATTTTCGATTAGTCTTTCAAAGGTTGGTATTTTACGGCAGTTAATCATTCAAATATTAAGCTGAGATCTGTTTTTGTAGTGAAGGCAAGTGGAACCGTTCGCGGGTTTTAGAGATTCGAAGAGCTATCGCTGTAAAATAATAAACACTCTCCAATGTACTTTTTTTTTTTTTTTTCGGACATGTTGGTTTGAATATATTTACTGTGGCGGATGCTTTCAACGCGTGAGCTCTTGTTTATTGGGGGCATTCCTTCAGTAGTGCAC